ATATATATTTTTTTTTTTTTTTTTTTTTTTTTTTTTTTTATTTCTAAACGTCATCTATTCTTTCCCACTAAATCATGAATTATGCTACCTAATTCCTAGTTAGGTTAGTTATAATCTAAATCTTACCAACCATGCTTCGTTTGTCCCGATAAGGCTCTATCCTCTCATTTTCATGACACCTGTTCATCTCCTCATTAAATTCATAGTAGAAACTATGATCAATACAAGAATGATCTTTAAACTTCACTAATTATACCCTATCAAAGCTTACTTAGTAGATAACCAATCTTCATAAAAAAAAATGGTGCTATAAAACTAATTCAGTTATTAAAATCGGGTAAAATCATTCGTAGATATAAACATGTCTAGTAATTTTCTCAGCAAATCTATATTAATATCTCCATTGCTCGTTAACATCCTATCATCTTGTATTAAGTTGATGTATTAAGTTGATGGGTATAATTATAAATAAGAATGTCACATTAGATAAAATTAAATTGTAGCAAAATTTGTAAGAAATATCTGTAAATTACTTTTTGCAGGAAAATTGACAAAAAAATTTCTGCGAATATTCTTTTGCAGGAAAATTCGCAAAAAATTTCTACGAATATTTTTTTGCAGGAAATTTCGCAAAAACTTTCTATGAATATTTTTTTGGAGGAAAATTTGCAAAAAAATGACACTTTTCTAATAGTGATTAATTTTTCCAAATTTATACTTGTTTGTTTAATTAAGTTTTTCAAATTTGTACAAAATTTTTTTCAAACAATTCAACGCAACATGTGGCTGTCTAGTTCAATACATACCTATAGAATGTACAATATATCTCATTTAAATTCAAACAAAGTAAAAAAGTAAATTAGTTAGTAACCAAAAAAGTTAACAATACAGTTCAAGTGAACAAATATTGTCATTAATTATTAACAATAAACAATTACTATAAGAATGTATCAATGTTATCAAATAACAATGAAACTAAAGTAAATTAGCCATCAAAGTGTTATATGAATATCAATGTATTCAAATAAAATTAAAATAATGTAAAACAACTAAATCTCATTCTCAATTATTGTATTTTGCATATATCCTCCAACTTTTCATCAAAAAATGGAGTTGAATTTTTGAATACCTCCCGAAAATTCAAAATAGAGATAAGTTAAATATTGGTGAAACATTAAAGAACTATTTAATCATTTAAAGTAATTAAATAGATTTAAAAATATATTATAGCACTCCATAAGTCCCTAATGTTCCCGATAAGAACGATGAACATGTGCTTTAAGTATGAATATATTCTCTTATAATCTTTCATCATGGTCATCACATGTAATATGTACATCATTAGACTCATTGTCCACATTCAACGTAGGCATACATGAGGAGAAGGAAGAAATCTCACAAATATCAAGTGTAGCACCCTAAGATTTTTCTAATTATTAATAAGAATTAATTAGGAAGATGATAATGATTTTATTTTATTTTTTGATTTATAGTTTTTATTTTATACATTAAATAGATTTAATCATTAAGAGGAGCATTAGATATTTAAAAATAGGGGGTTTAGAGAAATAAGGTTATATATATTAAAAGAGAAGGGATAAAAGGTTTTTTTTTATATTATTATTCATCTTCACTTTTTTGATACTCGGGTGCTTTGTAAGGGGGGAGTGGAAACACACATTTATAGGGAATGGGTGTATGC